CCCCCAAAACCCCAAAACCCCTCATTCATTAAATCCGTACAAATTTGATTCAGCTTATAATATTGTGAAATTATAAAATAAATGATGAATATTGAAGATAACAGTTTGAACATCAATGCCAATATTAACATGATAGCATAAAACAACTTCAATCAAATGAACTTAGGTAATATGAGCATCCTTAAGCCAAAGAAAAAATAAACTTAGCAACAGCTTCAACAGGTCTACCTAGATAGTATATACATTATAAATATAATAACTTTATATAGTTTTCAAAACTTTTTCTTAAGATGGATTGTATATAAAAGCCACAGAGTTTGTGGGAGTTGGGAAACTGTTGAAAATTCACCCAGTAATATCAAATCAAATCTAAGACAGTATAGGTCATTATTACATTTGATCAATTTAAAAAGGTTTTACTTCGATCGCCTGAATACTGGAATAGCAAGAAGGATATGAAATACATCAATAACGAAGTTATTAGTGCTACGTTCTCTCCTTCGGACTTCTTAAGAGCTTTCAAAGTAAGAATATCATACCGTCAAATATTCATAAGAAGCACTCATACTATCAAAACTATTTACTAATTAACATTTAATTTGTAGATCATAGCTAAAGTAGGTTACAAACATATTGAGGACACCAATTAAAATAAATTTATCATGCTCACTAATTACCTTAAGAAGCAGCTTAACTCATTCGCAAATAAAAGAGAAAAATTGGCAAATGATTTGTAGTCAGATGCTCGATCAGTTAAAACAGCTTATGATCAAACTTAATACAATGCCATAAATCAGCAGTTAATGAAACATTAATATTCAAACAGCATTCACTCAACTTAACCAGTCAACCAATATACCTAGCAAGTGAAGATTGCAACTTCTCCAGGGAATGCCTATTCTGAGGTAAATCATCAAATACATACTCCCACTCATTATGAAAATACAGGAGGTATCCAAGATAAAAGATTATCTGGTACAGACGCCTAAGCAAATTTCATTCACTCAACTTTATCAAATGACTATCGCGTATATTAATCAATTAATCCTAGTACGAATGCCAAAACTTCAACTAATGGATTGAATACCACTCAGTGGAGATTTTGCAATAGTGAGATTAAAAGTGACATTTCATAGAGAGCTTTTTCAACTGCAGTAAGAACCTCACAATCCAAAGGAAGAGGAATGATTATTCCTAAGGGCTTATTGAAGAAAAAGTTTAAATAAAACCCTCAAATGAGTGTTACTAATTATCTTACTTATAAGACTAACCTGAGGACGATCACTGGAAAATCAAACTCATCAGTAAAAGGGTAGAGAACAGGTGTTCATGAAATATAAAGAAATTCTTATAGCGGGGCTCAATATAGCACAATCTAGGTTCAAGATACTAGAAATAAAACTCCATCTGTAACAAGAAGTATAAATGAAAATCCTATGAATATCAGCAATTAGAATCACAAATCCTTAAATACTATGATAATACCGAAGGTATAAATGTAAAATGTGCCAAAACTATAGACTTAAGAGCTCTCAACTCAAAACGTTAATATACTTGATGATAATAATTTCAATACAATTGATGGATCTCAAAGTGGAAATAGGCAGCAAAGTTAGAGTTTTAGAATCAGAAAATTTTCAAGAAGCATGAGCAGATAAAGCAGAAGCAGCAGTGTCAATAGTCAAAGAGATGAAAATGCTTTAGATGGCCTTAATACTAGTAAAAATAATGAAAATCTAAGCGATGCTAAGTAAGAAAACCCCTTAAGAGATTCAATTAATGTTAAGGATATCAGTTTAAGCAATAACCAAATATATCAATAGAAAAATTAGCAAGATAATACAATAACAATCAAACAGTATAAGGCAATATTGAAAGAATCAAAGCAATATAAAAAAGAAAGAGACGATTTGATTAAAGTGCTTAAATAAGTCAAGCGAAAATTCCTTGAATTCGCTAGTACTAACCCATAGACATTGAAACTCTCCTAATCGTAGAGTATGATGCCTAAGTCTGATACTGGTAACTCTTGTTCCTAAGAAGTCTAGGAATAACTTTAATTAAAGGATGAAAGAATAAAGTAATTGGAAGAAGAGATAAGAATTCTTAAACAGCAGAAAGATACTTAGATTGAAGAGGATATAACACTTAATCAGTGATATATTCTATAGCAATAGATTGATACTTAAAGTTTAGCTACAAACTACATTCACTTTTCTATTTTAACCTCAGATACTTAATTTAGATTATTATCATTTAACTTAATTTTCGTAAAGCACTTTAATTCAATATTTAAGATTGGAGGGGTTTTGGGGTTTTGGGGTTTTGGGG